TAAAAGAGAGATTACATTTGTAATCATTTTTTACGAGCTTTAGCTAAATAAAAACAGTTTTGTGATCTTTAACAAAATTTAACCGTACCAGTTCTTAAAGAATACTTCTTTGGTCGCACATGGAAAGATACTACTAGTACTATTTTGCATGAAATATAAAGTTTCCTTCACTCAAAAATACCATAACATTCTTCTTCCATCCTTTCCTATGTTTCTATAAAATTTTGAGCTTCTAAATGAGGAAGTTCACACAATTCATCAAAAATCAATCCATTATAAGAACAAAAAAGAACTAAAATAAATCGATATGAGTTATGGAACTTGAAAATAAGTTGGATTACCCGTTCTCCGAGGAAAGCACCAACGATGATAAAGGTAATATAGACATAATTGTGACGCATAATGACTCTGTAAAGGCTTTCCAGAGGCCCTCTTCTGCTCTTTCGAGCTGTTGTTTCCATTCTGAATTCTGATTCTCTATTTGAACTTTCTTTGTTTCTCTGATGCTCGTTTGTGTAGAAATTAGGATTGCAGATGAGAAGAGACTGGAGAGTGAAACTTAGGGGCATAAGCGATAAATACGCTACTTAGAATTATTCGTGATTTTTTAGATGTTACAAATAAGTTCTTTAAATTATTTTAAAGAATAATCACACACTCATTTTTAGTAGTTTGTTGCAAAATAGTCCATTTTTTGAGTTTTATAACTTGTTTTTGAATATTTTACCTTAATCCTCTTTTCTTTTTTGAATTTTCTTGGTAGTAAGTGAGTAAGTATTTTAAGCTTGTAATAACACACCACCGAGGAGTGCTGCAGTTCCAAAGCATCATATATGTTTGTGATCCTGATTACGGTGAGAGAATTAAACACCGGAGATCACAAATTTTGAGAATCATTAAAGTAAACTATTTCACAACGAAGCCATAGTTGAGTTGGGAGAAAGTTGTAAGAAAGAGATCGCCTAAATAATTACTCAAAAAAAAAACTAGTGATATACCGTCAAATCTGTCGGATCGGATTTGCCAAATCATACTCTAGAGTGAAGATTCTATTAATATACGGCAAAGGGCCAAATATATCCCTATACTATAAGAAAAGGTTTTAAAATACTTTTCGTTATACTTTGGGTTCAAATATATCCCGGCCGTAATACTATTGGTTTAAATATACCTCATTTCTGTTAAGTTTGTCCAAGATGTAAATTCAATCCTACATGGCACTGATATTTGATGAGGTGAATGCCACATGGCATGCCACCTCAGTGCCCCTAATCTATACTCCCTTCGTTTCAATTTAGATGACACATTTCGCTTATCGAGAGTTAAACTGTGTGAAGTTTGATCAATATTTTAAAATGTATTTTTTTTATCATATTGGCAGGAGAAAAATTGCAACTTATAATACTTTTCGTAAAGTTTTTGAATATCTAAATTTTAATTTTAAAGTACCAAGTGGAACTAATTCAATTTAGCTTCAAAATTTAGTCAAATTGACTTTCGATAAGGGAAATTTGTCATCTAATTTGAAACAGAGGGAGTACATAAAAGACTAAAATTTGAAAAACAATATTTGTCATGGTAGCAATAATGGTGCAATAGTAGGGGGGAGGGGGGACGAAAATTTTAGTGGTGGAAAAAAAATAGAAGGGAGGGGTAAAATGGATTAGGGGTGAAGTGACAAGTCATGTGACATCCACCTCATCAAATGTTAGTGCCACATAGGATTGAACGACCACTTGGACAAACTTAACGAAAAAGAGGTATATTTGACCAATAGTATAACGACAAGGATGTATTTAGACTCAAAGTATGACGAGGGATACATTTAAACCTTTTCTAATAGTACAGGGATATATTTGCCTTTTTCCGATTAATATATGGAGTGCGTAAAGCACTAGTCATCATTCATGCATTTCTTTTAGGTATCTGCAATATAATGTCACGCCCCAAACCTGGGCCTGGACGTAACGCGGCACTCGGTGCCTGACTATATGTGACCGAGCAAACCAACTGGCTAGCTGAATCAACATGTGATATCGTAACATACAGAATGCGGAAGATAAACTAACACATGCTGATATGCTGAAAGTCTGGATGATATAAATCAAAGTGTGGAAATACTAATACAATTCTGAAACATATTTGTAGCCAACATAGCTTAATATAAAAAGCTTGTAACTCTGTCTAGCTGTTACTCTAGTCTATGAAGCCTCTAATTGTACTGAAAACATTGACTGTCTGAAAATGCTGAAGATTGTAGTAATGATAATGCCCCAAAAGAACCGGGTAAAACCAAATAGCTGGTACGAGAATCTTAGCGCTCTGAATCATGAACCTGTAAATCATTACCTGCATCGTGAGATACAGGTCCCGGGCAAAAGGGACGTCAGTACATTTGAATTGCACTGGTATGTAAAGCAACTGAAAGAAAGAATTATAAATGCTGAAACTGAAACTAAGCTGATAACTGAGAATTGATAATTGATAACTGAAATGATGACTATTGAAACTGAAACTGAACTGATAACTGGTAACTGAAATGATAACTGATAACTGAACTGAACAAAGGAAGTAAGGATATGAATACTCCCTCTTCTGAATGATGAACAACCTGTTTATCTGTAAATTAAACTGCAGCCTCAGGCCCAATATATCTGTGCACAAACTGCGGCCTCGGGCCCAAGTATACGTATACATAACTGCGGCCTCAGGCCCAAAAATGCATAAAGCATAAACTGCGGCGTCAGGCCCAAAAATGCATAAAGTATAAACTGCGGCCTCAGGCCCAAAAATGCATAAAGCATAAACTACAGCCTCATGCCCAAATACAGGTGTTCAACATTCAGGGATTTAAAATTAGGAACTGAGAATCATACTGGAATACATGATAGTGAAATACTGAATCACACTGGGTTACATGATACTGGAATACCGGATCACGCTGAGCTACATATACTGGAATACTGAATAGGACTAGACTGAGACATGTATTCTTGAACTCATTGTGAACACTGAAACTTCAACTGTTTATGGAATACTGAGTAATCTATACTAAGACTCGGGGGCATCAACCCAAGTCTATATTGAATACGCACTGAGCTCACAACGTTCAGAATGAAAGTCATGAACGAGTTATGAAGCTAAAGAATAGAAATTCTACAACTATTCAAGGAACTAGGCTAAACTATATTTCTGAGGCAATTAGTAACGTCGTAAAAGAAACGTAGTGTAGGGAGAATCATTAACATTCTCAAACATAGAGAGTTAGCCTCAAATACCTGAATTTCGCCCCTTAGTGATACTACAATGATCCACAATACTAAGAAACTTCAATCTACAATAGCAACATCCAATGGAACCAATATTAGTAACAATTTCCATAACCTAAGCCATTTAGGCATATTATCTAACACCTTGTAGGTATAAATCTCTACATCTCATCACCATATAATTAGTTCATCCAACTACCACCATTCATCAACAATTTATCCCACCGTCATGATTAACCAATTTATAACTTCCAACATCACATATATGATCATCCATCCACACCCAACCAATAAAATTTCATCAAATAATCATCTTTCAATCTCTACTATAGTTATGTAATTAAAATTGGGAACTTATGGCTTCCAATCACCATACCAAGAGTTCTATTACTTATTCATACTCATATTCCCTTAATAAATCCATACAAGTAAGTCTAAGGGTGTAGGATTACCTTTTTGGAAGAAATCTTGCAAAACCCTCCTTTGAGTTCTTGAAGAAATTTCTTGAAGATCTAAGTATTTTATGTGTAGGTTTCATCAATGCTTGTGTAGAAATGATGGAATTCACACCAAGATAATGGGTATTTCTTACCTTGAAGATGGGAGGTGTTGGAGGTCTTAAGAGAGTGNGTAAATTGTTGTTACTAACGCCCTAGGTATTTCGGACGCGAACGTGGGTGCTTCGCATCCGAGCAGTCCTCCGCTCAGGAGCTCGGATGCTATGGCAGCACTTCACTGCCAGCCCCTCTTTTCGGACGCGGCCTCGGATGCTTCGCATCCGCGCAGTCCTCCGCCAGCCTTTGGTAATTTGGTCATAACTTCTTGTAGGAAAGTCCAAATGACGAACGGTTTGAGGCGTTAGAAACTACACTCAAAGTCCTTTCATTTGACAGGTTGTGCATCACATAACATTTTATATATATGTATTTATGCTCATCCAAAGTGTGGTCTTGTGCTTACCCATTTGGAATTTTAGTCTTTCATGTAGTTTTCAAACTTGGCTTAGACTTAGGTCTCTCCTTGGACCCCAAATCACTTATGATATACCTCGTACACTTATTATCATGTACAATTGATAACCATCATATAAATAGTCCTCGTCTGCACACAGCTTTTTCATATTTACGGAGTGTTACATTACCCATACTCATCCCGATAGGGCTTGACATGTCTAAAAGATCACATTAATACTCATCTAACACATCCACAACTAATCCGGATTTACGAGGTGTTACATATAACATATGAAATACAAAAATTATTATTTGTTCAACTAGAAGAACAACAAAGTAGGTAAAAAAAAATGAATGAAATCTCATCTTTTTAAAACGAGAGATTCAAAAGAGTACATCCACGAGTCCGGAACCTATTTGTGATCTTTTTGGACTCAAAATACCGAAATAAGTGGAAAAAAACTTAGTGACCAAACTATATAAAATGCGGTTTTAAATCACGCTTTACTTTAACGTCCATTTTGGACGTTAAGGTAAAGCGCGTTTCAAAATAATGTTTTACATAAAACGTGTTTTCAAACCATGCTTTTTTGCGTTAAAGTTATATTCTATTGATACTCAAACTTTTTACAATTTGAGACCTAGTAGCAACTTTGACATACTAGTACTACTTTACATCACAATTTGCTATGTAAAAACTATGTGTCTATCTATCTATATTACTACAATACACACACTATTTCTAATCACTTCTATTACGTTTCTACACTTTGTTTCTTCATGGAATCCAATTCAGCTGCTGTAACAATCCCTTCCATTTGCTGTTGCTCTTACCTCTGACATGTATGTGCAGCACTATTTCTCTGCATATTTGATTTTCATCATACTTGCCTTTATCAAATCTGATTCTGTTTCTCTCCCTCCAAATCATTGCAACAATAATGGCAAAAACGCAACTGGTTATAGCATTTATTCCTTTTCTGCTCTTAGCTTTCTTGCATACCCATTCCAGTTTAGTGTCCCATCCTCCAATGTTCCTCTTATGCCCCATCCATACACATAGTCTAGACCACAGTTTCTTTGTGATTGAGCATTCAAAGAATAAGTGGTTAAAAGATTCTAGACTATGTCCACAGAATGCATGAGCTGCAGGCACTTGAATACCAAACTTCAATAGTCTGTTAACTGTTTCTAGTCTCGGCTGTGCTGCAAGCCAAAGTGTGAATCTATATCTCGGATGTACATTTGTATGCAGCATTAAACTCTTCCATTCAACTCTGCAATACTCTGGAATCAGTTTCAAATACATCTGTTTCATCTGGAACTTTCCATTCTTGCACATTGCCTATAATCTGTTGTGAATACTCCCTTGAAGTTGCTGATGCTCCATGATCACATTTTTATTGCTCAGTATCTTTCTCACTACCCAAGATGTTGTCTTAGGAGTAGCCATTGTTTCCAAGTCCCTGCTCTTTATATAAAAACTATGCACCCATCGTATCCATAGACAATCCTTGTTTCTTGTTAAGTCCCATATATGTTTGATAACTGCTGCTTTGTTCCACATCTTTATGTCTAGTATGTTGAGACCTCCAGCTGCTATTGGTCTACACACCTTCTCCCAAGCTACTAGTGCCTTCTTTGAAATATTAGCACTGCCAGTCCATAAAAATTTTCTGCAGATAGTTTCAATAACTTTCATCACCTTCTTTGGGAGAATAAAAACATATGCCCAATAAGTCTGAATACCAAAAATAACAGCCTCGATCAATTGACATCTACCAGCATAAGATAGGAGCTTTGCTGACCAACATGTAACTTTTGCTGTTATCTTCTCAATCAGAGGCAAGTATTGAAAGACACCTAACTTCTTAGAGTCTAAAGGAATTCCCAAGTATTTGAAAGGGAGCTTTCCTTCAGTGAACCCCAATGTTCCAAGTATTTCTTCTCTAGCAGCTTGAGCTATCCCAGCCATATATATTGCACTTTTACTATCATTAGCCTGTAAGCCAAAAGCAGCTGAGAATCTGTGAAAAGCATCATTTAGGATCTTTATGGATTCAAAGTCAGCTCTACAATACATTAGTAAGTCATCAGCAAAGCATATGTGTGTGCTATTTAACTTCCTGCACTTAGGATGGAAGTTAAAATTCCCATTCTTATGCAACTGCCCCAGTTCTCTACTCAAATATTCCATAGCAATAACAAATAAGTATGGAGACATTGGTTCTCCTTGTCTAATCCCTCTCTTGCCTTTGAAAGGCTTTGTCAAACCACCATTTAGGACCAAGTAATATGATATAGTGGTAACATAAGTCATTATCCACTGTACAAACTTAAAAGGAAACCCAAGATCAATAAGCATTTGCCTAAGAAAACTCCATTTCAGAGTATCATAAGCTTTCCTTAAATCCACCTTCATCACACATCTAGCAGAAACTCCTTTTCTAGAATATTCTTTGAACAATTCATGGCTAAGCAGAATATTATCAACTATGCTTCTTCCTTCAATGAATGCTGACTGAGACTGACCAATCAAACCATCAAGCACACTTTTCATCCTCCTTGTAATGACTTTGGATATGATCTTGTACAGTGTAGTACAACATGCAATGAGCCTATAATCTTTAACTGTTGCTGGTGCTTTCACTTTAGGGACTAGTGTAATAGTTGTTGTATTAATTGTACCAGGCAACTGTGTCGACGCCCCCTTTTTCCCTCCCTCCAAAGAGCAAAAAATCGGGTTTACGACATTTAGGAAAGACAACTCTATTCCCGTTTGGGATTGGGTTTTGGATCTGGAGAGTCGCCACCTAATGATTATGGTGCATTATGACACTTTAAGAAAGAACTTGAGATGAAAAACCAGAATTCGGGTAAGGGCTAGAAATTATCTCGAGGGGAAGGTGTTAGGCACACCTCAAGATCCACTAGTGTGGTTCCCGGCCATGCTACAACTGTGACTTTAAATACAAACAACAAGTAGACAAGCAAGCATTGCAAATACGAGGAAAACTTTCACATAATGGTTGCAAATAAAAAGTACAAAAGGCTTAAAAAATACTAGAATTTGGAAGAAAGTAGTTTTATAATTAAAGATAAGATATACGAGTGAAGGGGAAGGGGTCAAATAATTGATGCAAGTAACTTAAAAGAAGTGAAAGAGACGGAAGTTTAGGGAGAAACAATACTAAAATTCAGACAATTAAAAGAGAGATTTTTCATGATAGGAGCAAAAAATTGAAGTAAAAGAAGAGAAACTGAAAACTGAACAGCTTATAAAATTCTGGAACAAAAATAACAAAAAGGGAGGGGGGTCCTAGTTTTATAAATCACATGGATCATCCACACAACACCGGTACCCAATTGTACGCATAGTGTTATCGTGTGATCATCATCTCCATGTCTACCCTTCCCTACCCCGTTAAGGTATTAAAGCGCAGAATAGTATCGTTACTTATTGCATGCTATTACCCGTCCCAATCCTATCAGTCCCGGAGGCAAATGGACTACTAATCCTAAAGGGAGAGGGGTTTGGGGGCTTTTAGAAGTTTTCAAAGGACAAAATGCTAAGGCGTCAATCAAAAACACGTAATGCAAATAAAGGGGAAGCAGACAAGCAAACAGGGCTCAAATATGCCTCCATAATCAGATAAAAGTCATAGAGTTTAGCATGTCTTACACGTACTGATTTGGTCTTAATTAAATAATGCAACGAGCGGACTGGTTCAACGCATATTTTTTAGACGGAAAGTCAACATTAGGCTCGCTCGAATGCAGTTGACTAAAACCGATCTGATTGATTAATTAATCCCTTTTGTCTAAGTGTTGGATAGAACTAGGCATGATATCTACTGATTTTAGAAATAATGCAAACTGATTATAGAAAAAGGTTACCAGTTTTAACAGAACAATACGAGTTCAGCAGTTGACGTAACTTCTATTCAGATTCGAGATTTCCTATAGGCATGCTCTCTATATGTTTATTGATTTTTGACATCTTCTAGACGTTAACAGAAGTCCTATGAACATGGTATCTATATGCAACTTTTATTGTTAAACCTATGAACTGTTTGCCTGATGACGCTTATATATGTAGAGATGCAGAAGTCTATAGGCAGTATTTCTATATGTGAATTCGCAGAACAATTAGAAGTTAATCCTATAGGCAGGATATCTACGTGTGAAGTTGCAGAAATAAGAAGTTAAACCTATAGGCAGGATATCTATGTATGAAATTGCAGAAATCAGAAGTTAACCACATAGGCATGTTTTCTACGCGTGGAGTTGTACAAATCATAAATAAATCCCTATAGGCATGATTTCTACCCTTGGTGCATAAAAGTAAACCCCATCCCCCTTTTTTACAAAATCCCCGAGTTTATACAAATTATTACAGCAATAAAACTAGAATTAAAAAAGTACATCAGGAATCATCAGCTACATCCGAGCAGCCTAATTCAGACTTAATGTCTAATAATATGAGATTGAGCCACTTCCGAGATCCAGATTTCCAAGCCTTATCTCATCTAGGGTGTTTCAGAGATCCAAGGGATTTCAGGAACCCCAGGCAGTGCATACACCCAAGATGTTAATCAGAAAATTGAGTTGTGCAGTGTGGAAGGGCCAGCCCTTATGTGTCCAAGTTCAGAGGGAGCTCAAGGGTCCCAAGGCAAGGCTCACACAAGAGGGGCAGAACCTAAGTTCTAAGAGCATAGTGCAAGTGCAATAAGAGAAAGGGGATAGGGAATACCCAGGCAGGCTGGTGGTCATGCCCAGCCATAAAGTAGACTGGCACACCCCTAACCAAACCTGTTGGCCAAACATTTAGAGAGTAAAGACCTACTGGAGTTCAAGCTATGGTCTGAGCAATAACTAGAATACTGTCAGGCCAAAGCTGTTACTCAACGCACACAATAAGGGAATAGGGATGGGAAGCTGACAAAGCTTAGGGCCCAAAGGGTCCAGTTCATATCCATGGACAATAACTTCGAATATTGCCATGTTTCTGAACCATAACTTAAAGCATATAAGGGGATACGGGGGTTTGGGATTCATAAGGTAGCAAATAAATAAAAACTGACTGACAGGGTGCATACATAGATAAACATCAACTTACAAGGGAACGTATTACAGAATGCTAGTAACATATCTTGACTACAGAAACATGAGTAGAAGTAGACAGGAATGACAAACTGGAGTAATTAAAGAGAACATATTGTTGTTGAGGCTTGTTAATTAACTAGGACATACCAGTAGAGAAGCAAAGTGCAGAAAGGTAAAGCAAACACAAGTCCACAGTCTAGCCTTGGCTTTCAGCCGGCTAGGCAAAGCAACAACACAAGTAGTAGTAAAGAAAGAGAGAGTTTTAAGAGTAAGTGTGTATATTTTGAACTCAAGTTGTTCGTGTGTGTTTAAAGAAAAGAGGGTAGGGTATTTATAATTTTGAAAACGAGTGGAGAATAAGGTAATAAGTAAAGTTTTAACACAAATATGGAAACAATCACAAGTCAGAATCAATTAACACAAGACTTCCCTTTAATCAAGGGATTATTGTTCAAACGGATACTAACAGGGTCAAGATAAGGAAAGAAAATCAGTCTTTAAGCAGAATGGTTGTTGCCATAAAAGGAGCAGTAAAATCATACAATAGGTGTTTAAGTCTAAGTACAGGAATGTAATTATTTTTGGAAAGGATCTGGTAAGGCCAAACAAAGAGAAAGAATCAATTACCCCTTAACAGGCGAGTAAAAATCAGAATTTCACAAAGGAAAAGTTTTGAAAATCAATCACGAGTTTGAGAATCAATCACAGAAGGGACTCAGTATATAAATGAAGTGCACAAGTAATAGACATGTGAGGCCAAGTTATGGCAAAATAACAGCATGTAGTAGTAACTAAAAAGAAGACATTCGAAGCATGATAGTCAAGTTTCAGTGTTTAACAATAGAGAAGAAGATCAGAAGCATGCAAAGAGTTGAGTGGAAACCATAGTTGAGTTTGACAGGTAGTAAGAACTCAGAACCAAAAGAGTCACATGAAGAAAAGAGAATTGAAGCACATTGCAATTTCAACAGACGAGTTGCACAAACAATTTCAAAGAAATCGAATAGTCCCCAAAGAAACTAGGGTTTTCGAAAATCAATCGAGTTTAGAGGAGATAAGCAGATAAACAAATAAACAGATTCAGAGTCTCGGATAAACCCCAAAAATTAGGGCTTTCACTATGCTAACTCAGATATAGAAGAAAGGTAAATCAAGCGAATATTAACAAACAGAAACTCAAACAAAATCCCAAAATTAGGGTTTTCAACATGCTAACTCAGATAAAAATAAGGTAAA